GCTCGCCCAGCTGCAGGATCAGGCTCCCGATGATGCCTCTTCTTTTCTTCTATCGTCCCCTTCTGGTGCCTTGTTGCATTATTCTTTTGATACTTGGCCATGCTGTGTGAACTGACTCGTGTGTACTTCAGGATGTCGCGCCCAGAAGTCGAACCATGCTGAGAGTTGCGCTCGTGGTACTGTTCGCGCTGGATCGTTGCCCTCTAGTGCAACAGTGTACTCGAGCATCTCCCCGTCCAGGTTCTCCGTAGTGCCTTGCCGTACCGCCTCCTGATGTTCTTCAGCTCCGATGGTGAGCTTCCGTATGCTTTGCGTCCGTAGAGTATTGATGCCACGGCTCCTTGCTCTACTATGCCCTTGATCTGCTTGGCGTTCAACTGCCTCAGCTTGCCACCGACCATGTTGAAGCGTCTTCCTGCCTTCCTCGCCCGCGTACGGTGGGTTTTTTCCTGGTGGTTAGGCGTGTTTTTCTGTTAAGCCCGAGGTCGCGCCCTTCTTTGACTGGCTTTACTTTGTTGTGCTTGGCAAGTTTCCTGGCGATGTTGGCTGTGCTCTTTGCCGTGGGGGCGAACGCCTCCGACTTATCTGCCACCCTCAGGTTGCTCATATCAAGCTGCCCCTTTAGCGAGGTGACGTGCTTGACGATGCCCTTTTCTGCCGATGTTGTGCTCCCCGTCGCTCTTAGGCTGATGTCGTCGAACTGGATCCGCGGGTTGGAGCTGGGTTCTTCGTTCAGGTGTCGGTTGATCGTGATGTAGGCCAGGGCCCTCGCCAGGTTGTTGCTGTGGCGCGAGCCCGCTAGTGGGGACTTGCTGGCCAGCGCGTGCTCGCTGTAGCAGCCCTCTTGTCTAGTAGTCGCGGTGTCATGTGCTGGGGCATCGCCATGGCCAAGATCCGCGGTGGGAAGCTGTAGTACTAAGCTGCCTTCGCTGTGAAGCCGAACCCGACGCTGGCTGTCGTAGAATCTCTCAGCGTCGGTGATCGCGCCCGTTGTGGTCGCCCCCAGCGCGTCCGCGGTCTCGTCGCCGATGATCCTCAGCATGGCCTCTCTCAAACAGCTCAGCCCGGGCACCGCTGCGTCCCAGGGCATCCTGACCTCCTCTAGCCGTTCTCGTACTTGTTCACGGTTGAGCAGTTCCCAACGGCGTCCGAACCAATTGAGTAGCGCCAGTGCTCTGCCGCCGCCCGTGCTGACCGCATGATGTCCAGGTTGGCTGTCGCCTTTCGGCTCCAGCATGATGATCGCTTCCAGTACCTGCCATGGTCATGCGACCGCCTCGTCGCATTCGTTGTTCATGTCACGAAGTTGGTTCTGCCCTGTAGTGGGAGCCTCCTCAAGTCCGTCATGCGCATCTGGTCTACTCCCTTGCCTCTGTCGGGTGCCCCTTGGATGGCCTGGTCCATCTGCTCCAGTGTCCATCTCGGCGTGGGTGTCGATGCCGCTGCTCGTCGCAGGTCGCGGAGGAGCGCAATGTCCTCCTCGGTGTGACCCTTGCCCCATATGCCCTCGAAGATCTTCAGCTTGGCGTTGAGCTTGCCGACGGGTGAGTGGCGCCTGTCTGTCTGGTGCAGCACTACCTGCTCGTGCCGCTTGATGTCCTTCGTGATGTTGTGACCGTTCCTGGCGACTCCTTAGCAGTCTCCGTGATCCACTTGATGCACGCCTTCCTGCTTTTCGCAATGTCCTCCTTGAGTGTTCTGTGTGCTTGCTGTGCTGCCTGTATGCACATGCCTTCTATGATGTCCACCTCTTGTTTGTCGATGGTGGAAAAATCTAGCTTTACATATCTTCCTGTGGAGCTTCGCCGTTGGTGAAGTGCTGTGTCCCAAAGGTGATGGCCCTTCAACTGCGGGAAGTCTGCATGTCTTGGCTGCATGGTCCTGCATATCGCCGCCTCTGTTCCGCTTACTGAGCTGTTCCAAGATGTGCAGCGTGTTCGCCGTCCTGTTCCACCAATCGGCGTGATGGTCTGTGCACCTCGCATATCTGGGCCCTCTTTCCTTCTGCTCTTTCTCTTTCAGCTCTCCCGGTAATCCCCTGCCCTTGAGCACATTTCTCTCTTATGCTGTATGCCGCGCAGTAGAGAATCCCCATTTCCTGCATGAACTTCGCATGCTCGTGCACTAGCTTCACAGCATCGTCGGCAGTGGCCTGGAAGGCTGCGCTCTCGATGATGCTCTTGGGTTGCGCGCTGCGTAGTGTTGCTGCGGGTTGTTGTGGTAGCTGCGAGACGCATTCCCAGAGGTCGTCCATACAGAAAGTGTGTAGCTCGGTGTCAGCCTTCATGGTATTCGGTGTTGCGTGGTCACGCTTCTTCTGTGTCTCCGCTGCGTCTTCTGTTTCGCCTCCGAGCTGCTCACGTAGCTGTTCTGCGTTTGGTGGTCCTTCAGCTGTCGATACCTGTGGTGTCTCAAGAGTGTGTTCCTCCAAGTTCAAATGGTCGTCCAGCTCGTCGAAGGGGCCCCAGTCCTCCTGATCCATGATTGTAATACTTCCGCGAGGAGCAGATGGCTTGGCCTTGTGGCGTTCGCCACTCTTCGGGGCTTTTGCCTTCTTCTCCTCACTGTTGTTCGCTGGCGTGGGATACCCTGTCCATCCCCATGGCGTGAGTGCCTCCCATCGCTCTTCTTCTGCTTGCAGCTGGTGTCTTCGTAGTGATTCCGCTTGAAGCTCTTGCTGCCGTCGTTGCTGGTCGGCTCGCTCGCTGGTGTCCGCCTGGTTGCCCTTGCCCTTGAGCTTCTTCTTCTTCTTCTGCTTCTGCCTCTTGCTGTCTGGGTTGGCTGGGCCTTGGCCAACTTCGGTTGGCTGAACGGCCTCGGCATAGTGAGCGTTCGGACCAGGTTGCGCTTCACGGCCCCGTTGGCTATCAAGCATTGCCCGATGTGTGGTCGCCAGGGTACGTCCGATGTGGCGCTCCGCGCTGTAGCTGACCAGCGCAGAGTCGATCATCGAGGGGTTGCTGTCCTTCTTGAAACACGTGTTGGCTTCATCTGGCAAGGTCATGACCTTGCTGCCGAGCTGCTTGGGCCACCCTGTATCTCAGATCTGCTGCGGGGTGTGGTTCCAGTCGCCCGCGATCACCCACGGCTGGTTGATGCTGTAGAGAAAGCTAGTGAGCGTGGCGGGCTTTCTCCCGTTGACGCCGTGCAATGGCGCGCAGTTCCCGTCGATGTAGATGCTGATGCTGATCAGCGTGAAACCATGGAGATGCCATGCCATTGGTACCCAGTCTAGGATTTGGAGACCTGGCGCCGCTTACAGACTCGCGCGAGGCGATCTCCCTAAACGTGGGAGCTTGATGGTGTGACCTGACTGCGATACTTGTGCCTCCGTAAGTACCCGTCGTAGATGTTCTGGAAGGCCTTGCTGCACAAGCGAATGCGTTCAACCCCATGCCGTGAAGAGTCCGCTCATGCTGCTCGACCTCTACGTGCCCAAGGTGAGTCTCCTGGAAGGCGAAAGCGTCGAAGTAGCTATTGTACCCTGGCTTCTTGTCGAGTGCTTTCCGTAACCATTTGTCCGCCTTGGGCCCCCATTGTGTGGAGCTGCCGAAAAAGAGTCTTCTGTGGGGCACTGCGCCGGCTTCTCGCAAACGCCCCGACCTTCTTGCCCACTCTTCTTTTGTTGCGCCTTTGCCCGCTGCTTTCGCGAGCCTCTTCTTCTCAAGGGTGTCGTTGATTTTTGCCTCCGGGCTTTTGCCTCCCGCTTTGACTTCTGTCTCTGCTGCCGTCGCTGCTGGTGCGCTCGTGGTCGCTGGCCTCGGTTCAGCACGATCCTCTTCCTTCGCTTCTTACCTGTTATCTGCCTTCCTTTTCTTCGCCTTCTGCTTGATCTCTCTTCTCTGCTCCTTCGCTCTTCCCTTCGTGTCCTTCACGAACTTGTCGAGGTGACCCTTGAATGCGTGCGCTTAGTTTTTCATCTTTTGTACTAGCTCTTGCTTTGCTTTTAGGATCTCCGTGATGGCTTCTGCGTCCAGGTCGCCATTTGCTGCCAACTCGTCCTCAACGCCCGTCATGGCCGATTCCGTCAGCTTGGAGATGTCGCCTTCCATGAGTTGCTCCAGTGGACCCTGCGGTTGAAACGTGCTGACGTCCTCTTCATGGATCTTCTGGGTCGCTTGTTCCGCTTCCAGTACCTTCTCTGCAGCTTCTTCCGCTTCTGCTCGGGGTCGGTCACCTTTCGCGATGTGCTGCTCGTAGATCATGTACTTGTGTGTGTATCTTTTGTTCGCTATCTCCAGCTCCTTCGCAGCGTCGGCTAGCCTCATGGCCTTCGACTTCTGCGGGGTCTGCTCCATGTTCTCCTTCTCCTTGGCAATATGTGTGGCGAGCGCCGTGACATGCGTCCCGATCGCCGTGTTCGTCTGGCCTCCGCTCAGCTTGCTGACCAGCTGCTCCAGCGTCTTCGTGAGGGAGCCCACGCCCGTGTCTTTTGCACCGTCGCTGCTCTCTCCCCACTCACCAGAGTGGTCTTGACGCCGCTTCCTGTTCTTCCACTGCTTCTTGGTCCACGCGGATGTCCCCGTAGATGCTGCTGGTGTCCACGATGCTTGCTACTTCGGTCTGGCTTCTTGTGGCGTCACCGACTTCCAGCACTTCGTGCACCACCACGTCTTCGTACCCCAACGGGAAGCACCGCACCCTTCGCACGTCGTGCGCGCTCGACCTGGGAGCGCAGGCTCGGCGCCATGCTGCCGTGGTGCTGCTGCAGGATGGGGCGGTCCTTCTCTTTCCTCCGGCGCCCGCGGGCGCTGGATCGCCGACGGCGCTCCCTGCGGTGCCAGGCAGGGGAGCGCTCTCGGCGGCTGCTGCGGCCCTCCGTGGGGCCTGGGGGCTGTGGCGCCGCGGGCTTGAGCCAAAGGAGGAGGGGAGGAGGAGGAGGAGGAGGAGGAGGAGGAGGAGGAGGAGGAGAAGGAGGAGAAGGATGAGGAGGAGGAGGAGGAGGAGGAGGAGGAGGAGGAGGAGGAGGAGGCGCCGCCTTCAGTAAGGCGCCGCCGCAGGTCCGCGCCAGCCTCCAGAGCGGCAAGAGCAGCTGCGTCCCCGTGGACTCCTTCGGGGCGGCGCTGCACCGCGTGCCGCCAGAGGCCCGGGGCGCCCCGCCCCTGAGTGCTGGGACGGCTCCTTCTCCGATCGACTCGCGAGGGTGATGCTGAGGCACGGGTCCGAGGTTCGGGGTCCGAGGTTCGAGATTTTCGGGCGGTTTCGTCTGTTCCAGGCGGTTTTCCAGCCTCGGCATGCGGTCCAGCAGCTGCGCCTTGCCGAGGGCTTTCTGGGGTCGCCCAGATCGTCCCGAACGGCCGCCAGAGACCCAAGTTGTGGCCCGAAAGCCAGGCGCCGAGGATCACTGAGGGGGATCGGCTGAGGTACGGTCGGGATCTTTTGCTTAGCGTGTTGCGCTGCCTACCGCGCGGCGTCGCGGCACGCTGACAGCGTCCCAGTTTCCCGAGCGTCGACGTCCCGAGCCTCTCCGAGCCTCTCGCCCCTCGAATCGGAATCCGATTGCAGGGCATAGCGCGTCGTCAGGGCCGTCGCCGCGACACGCTAAGCAAGAGTTGCTGACCGCACGTTACCGCAACTCGATGTGGGCATCCCGATGAATCTAGAGAAATCCAGAGATGTCCAGATCAGCTCGTTCAGGGTTCGTGGAAGCTCCAGCGCGAGACCATGGGCAGGATAAACCGTTAAGCCCTCAACGACATTGGGGGCCGCGTGGTGTAGGGGGGCGTTCGCGAAGAGGCGAGCAGGCGCGAGTAGGTGCGCGCAGGCAAGGGCGCGCGCCCGCTGCTACAATGACCATCTCTCCGTTGCCCCAATTATCGTTATGGCGCGGCGTACTCACCCTGGCATGCTTCTCTGCGAAGTTGCATCGCCGACCTTGCTGCTCTACGCCGGACGTTAAGGTGATTCCATGCTAGTTTCGTCGGAGCACGTACCGCGCATTCATGTTAGGTTCTTCTTCTCCTCATCTCATGAGCATCCCGTGTGATCCGCTGGTGCAAGCTGGCGCCTGCCGTCTTGTCGGGGGCCCCAGTGCCTGCGATACTGCGTTTTCTCCTCGGAGCAAAGTGTATGCACTGGCGCGCGCCGACATGTGCGTGTGTGTGTGTGTGTGTGTGTGTGTGTGTGTGTGTGTGTGTGTGTGTGTGTGTGTGTGTGTGTGTGTGTGTGTGTGTGTGTGTGTGTGTGTGTGTGTGCGTGTGTGTGTGTGTGTGTTTGCTTGTGGCACGCCGAACGCCCACAAGTGTGCACCGCCATCCCAAACGGGGTGGGCGGTCTTACGGCTGGTCCTCCCAGGCAGCTCGTCATCCTGCGGGCCTCCTCGCCTTCCCGCAGGCCCTGCCTGTCATCTAAGATGAGTCATTTCTCCCCCTTCAGGATTTCCCCACCTCGCAGGCGTCTGTGGCTATGCTGTCTCGCTGTGTGCCTTGTGCTGTGTGGCTCCGAGGCGTTCGTCTTGCTAATTGTTTCATTGCTCGCCGCCGCTGGCCTCGGCGATGTATCAGGGTAGAGCAGGCCGCTGTCAGCTTCATCGGCTCGGGGTTTCGTGGCCTGCATTCGCACCTTCAGAAAATGAGAGGCAGCTGCTCGTCGCAAAGATATCAGGAAGGCCCTCGGAGAGGCCCCCACTTAGGTGCAGAAGTTTCGTCTTCTTGGGCAACAACGCGCGGCTGCCCGATGCTTCCAGATGTGGAGCCCGCTTGCAAGGCGTGATTACTTGTCAGGGACCGCAGGCTCAGAGGTCTCGGTCCCGTCGGTCGAATCGGAAGCTAAGTTGTTGGAGTCCTTAGCTGGGTGCTGAGCTCCCGTGTTGGGCCCGGCCACCTCGCTACCTCCCGGCGCTCATCAATATGCATCGCGTTTTGCTCCAAGGGTCGATTTCCAGGACATCGAGCCCTCGTTGACCGCTCGACTTCAAAGGGTCTTGGGCCGTGCGTCCTGGGTCGCACCTGGCCCTGCTGGGCTTTGCGGTGCTGATGGCCCTGATCGGCAAAGGAGTTTGGGTCCACATGCAGGTCCTTCGGCATCTCTTTCTTGGGAGGGCCATGCCGTCGTTGTTCTCGGCGCCGCTGGCAGTCTTCCACCCCGGAGCCCGTCAAGGATGATGTGCCCGAGCCTGATGAAGGCGGAGTCTCGAGCCCCATTGGTAACTAGACCCCTAGGACTGAAGAACACTGCGCACAGTAACATCTGTTCGGAGCTCAACGGCTGCTTCCAAAAGGTGGTGCAACAGGTCGCTGCGAAGTTTCAGAACGCCTCCATTCGCGGTTGGAACTTTCTGGACAATATCCCGGCTCTCGACGTGTTCGTCAGGTCCGCGAGAGCGCGGTCTCACTCAGAGCCGCAGGAGACCCCCGCGATGCTCGCCTTCGACTTCGCTCAAGCGTATCCGTCCACACGGCATCACGGTTATGTTGCTGTCTCCGCCGATCTCGAGTCCCAGATGCGTCTCTCCATGTTGCTTCCATGCCATATCGGAGCATCGCCTGTCTGCGCGGTGGCCAAACCTTGTCTTTGATGTATTTCATGGGTAGTGGAGTGTTCCGAGGATGCCCGCTTAGTGGAAGCATGTTCGTCGTCGCCGTTAACCCGTTCCCATGGGACCCCGAGGGCTCCTTGGCGGCACCTTCCCCGCCGTTGCGGTCTGCGGGGGCATGTGCGAATGGCATCTGGGCGGTGGTCTGACGTCGTCGCGCCTTTCGCCGGCTCGCTCAAGTCTTCCAGTGGGCAGCGAAGCTGGCCAATTTGAACCTTGAACCCAAGAGGTGCATGCCAATTCCATTCTTGTCTCCGCTGTCTGATGTCGTGGCGCTCGCCCTTCGCTTCGAACTACAGGCGGTTGATGGCTCGTGGCAAGCTTTTGATTTTGTTCGCAAGTGCTTTTGCTTGGGCTTCTGGATCGGCCCACCGGCCTCGCCATCGGATCAATGGTTGGCTCCAAACCTTGAGCGCCGCGCCCGTGCTATCGCTATCAGTCGGCAGGGAGCTCCTGCTGATGTTGGTGCTCGTCTCTATGCTGAACGTTTTCCTTCAATTCGGTCCTGCGTCGCGCAGTTTGCGCTGGCGCCGCGGGCCTTGGGGCAGCGGCAAAGGCGCCCTGTGGCGCGCCCCTTGCGCGCTCCCAGCTCAGTGGTTGCTCTGGTGGGCGTCTTTTGGATATGCAGGCTTTGGCTACCAAGGTTCGGCTCAGTTTTCGATCAAGGCGCGGCTGCTCGCATGCGTGCTGCACCAGCCGTTTTGCGCTCAGGCGTTGCTGGTATCTACTTCAAAACGGCACATAGTGCCAGCGAGCTTTCGGCTACGGCCAACGTGTGTGAGCCATGGTCCCGTCCCCAGCGGGGAAGGGTGGTGGCAAAGGTGGCAAGGGCAAGCTCGGCGTCAAGGGCGGCAAGGGGCCGCCAGGCGCAGGTGGCTCGCCTTCGGGGTTTGGTGGTGCTGATGGTGACCATGGGCATGCTTGTCCTTGGCATCCTCTCGCTCCAGGACCTCAACATCCGATGCTGGCCGCTCTCGGGCCCAAGCATCCTCAGAAGTGGGCCGTATGGACCTGCTCTGCATGCGGCTGCAAGAAGAACGACGCGAGGTACAACATTTGCAAGCACTGTGGCACGAGTTGGACTCCTTTTTCGGCAGGTGGGGGATGTGCACCGCCCTCTGGAGCCTGGAGTTCTCCGTCTGCAGCCATCTACTCGCCGTTCGCGGCTGCGGGGTTGTCGGCGCCGCCTGGCCAGTTCGGCTCGGCCGCTGAGCAGGGACCTGGCGCTGCTCTCAGGCACGCTGGTGAGGGCTCGGGCGAGCTTTCACGTGATGAGCATGAGCAGCTCGCGGTCTTGCTCGGCAAGAAAGGCGACTTGGTGGGCGCGGCCCGCCACAAGGCTTTGGCCGCACCGCCGCCGCCGACCAAAGAGCCGACCTTGCAGCACCAGGTCAGCATGGCGCACTCCAAGATGCGCAGTGTGCAGAAGCGTCTTCACGGTGCCGTCTCTCGGTATGAAGAATGGAGTGCCCAGATGGTCCAGCAGAAAGCGGTGGTGTCGCAGCTGGCGTTGGAGGCCGAGGAGTGCGAGCGGGCCCATGCCAACCTCGTGGCACAGCTCCACCAGTCCACGTGCAAGGTGGCGGCGGATGTGGAGCCTGCTCTGCGTTGCACTCTCGGGTCCATCCTCGACGGCTCCTTCACGAAGCAGCTCACTATTGATCCTTCGGAAATCTTCGGCTCCACTGATGAGTACGAGATGTCTCCTGAGGACCAAGAGCAGCTGGACCGCCGTTCGAAGGAACTCAAGGACGGCATTCAGTCTCTTGCTCAAAGCTTGTTTGCGTCAGCCGTGGAGACGGCCAATCGAGTGCGGGAGGAACACCAGCAGCACGTGGAGAGGCTGGCCAAGAAGCGGAAGGTGGCGGATCCTCCTGCGCCTGAGAGTCAGGCCGAGGCTGGCAGTGGCGTTCGCGATGGCGGGGCTGCTGGTGGCAGCGGCGCGGCAGCGGCAGCTCCCAGCGCGGCGCCTGTGTCTCCGCCTGCGGCTACTGATTCTTCTCGAGGCGAATCTGACGAGGCTGCCGCTGCTGAAGACGTTCGCCGACGTGCAGCTCTCATCATTTCTGAACAATCAGCTCCCCCTGCTTCGGCTGCCAGTGCTTGAGCAGGGGGGAGATCGTACGCAGAACTACGTCGATGTTGATGCGCTCCTGGTGCAGGGCGACGCGTTCGGGGAGGCTGGGCAGGTGTGCAGCGTGACAGTGAGGCCTGGCCTTGCGTTCGCGCAGCTCTCTCTGCACAGGCCTGACATCTCTTTTTTTGGGGCCTCGTGCAGTGAGTGCGAGGCCCCTGGGGACATCACATCTCGTCAGGGGGTTTTTACTTATAGTGACTCCGAAGTCGCACTTGGCGGGCTCTCGGGAGCTCAACAGTGCACGGCCGCTCTGCATGAAGGCGAGGGGCTTCTGGGTGAGCACGATGGGAGTTTTTGGAATCAGCGAGCCTGTCGGTCCTTTCGCCGGGTTCCCCCGCATCGTGCGTTTCCCTCGGTTTTTATGCGCGGCAAGGCTACGTTCAGGGCTGTTTTGAAACGCGCGCTCTGGAGAGCCAAGCGTATTCTCAGAGCTGGCAGCGGTGGTCTCGAGCAAGTCGTGCCGAGTCTTCCTTTCGTCCCGGCCATGTTTCGAGGTTTTGCTAGGGCGAGTGATGTTTACCCTGTTTCGACGGGTCTCGGCGCTGACTGTCCTGTTGAATACATCCGTGGCCCCGAAGACCCGCTGGTGTGTAGTATCGCTCTGGGGGGCTCCGAAGGCCCAGTCCAGCTCTCCCAGGACCAGCTTGATTCGCTTGAGTTGTGTGTGCAGACTATTAACTGTAACACTTGGTCCACGATGGTGAAATTGCTCGCCACGACTCAGGCGCGCGTGGTGCTCGGGCAGGGGCATCGGCTGAAGAGGGGGGAGGAGATCGACCAAGCGTCGAGCTGGTGCTGCAGGAATGGATGGAAATGTGTGTTTTCTCCTGCTCTGGACACTCAGGCTGGCTCCACCTCGGCGGGAGTTTGTGTTTTGGTGCGTGATTTTCTCGGGCTCCATCTGCCTCGAGGGGGGGCTGAGATTTGTCCTGGCAGGGCGGTTGCCTGCGAAGTTCATCTTCCCAGAGGCGTGCATTTCCTTGCGTATTCGGTGTACCTTTTTCATGCCGAGCAGCTTAGCGAGCGTAACGTTGACATCCTCGCCGCCACTGGGGAACGTTTATCGACCTCTGCTCTGCCTTTCTGCGTTGGGGGGGGGGATTTTAACATGTCTCCCAAGGTCCTCAGTGGGTCGAGATTTGTTGAGCGGTTGGTTGGCATTCCTGCGATTCCTCCTGGACCCGCCCACTTCGGCGAAGGCGAGCCCGAGACCTTCGATTTGTTCGTGTTTTCGGGGGGTCTCGGGAAGACCATCAAAGACTGCCGCATCCGTTTAGACGCGACGTTGAGCCCGCATCGGCCCGTTCAGGCTCTCTTGCATCCTCAGCCTACGCGTCTCAAGGGTCTTGGTTTCCGAAAGCCCCCGCCTTTACCTCCTACGGCCGTGGTCGGGCCCAGACCTCTGCCTCCGTCCTGGGAGAAGGTGCGTGCGATGGTTAACCAAGCCCTGCATTGCGTTGCGCAGAAGGATGCGGTGGGGGCTGCTGCTTTGCTCTCTCATTGTTATGCTGCCTGGGCTAACGTTGCCGAGAGAGAGTTGCCCCCTGTCTTAGGCGCCGACATCCCTGTTCTTGGTGCGAGGCCCAAAGGTCCGCAGTTGCACTGGAAGAACCTCGTCAGCAGGGACCTCCTGGTCCGAGATCCCCATCGCCAAGCTGCGCGGTGGCTCAGCGTCCAGACTAGAGCGTTTCTGTCTCTTTGGAACTCGCACCAAGGTGACAAGGGGCAGGCGACCAGGCTTCTTGCTGTACTTCGAGCACCGCCTGCTGCGGTGCAGGTGGGAGATCAGCATCGGCCTCTTTTTTTCTGCGGTTGCTCTCGCTGCCTCGAGCTCTGAAGGTCTCCTTGATGCTTTGGGGGCATCCTTGAGCTCGAGGATTGACGAGGCTCTGGCTGTTGCCAAGAGCGCTGCCGACAAGGAGTCTCGAGCTAGCTGGCAGGCTTGGATTCGAGAAGGCTTAGGCACTGGAGCGAGGGAGGTCCACTGGACCATTCGGGATCCCTCCCCCTGGAAACCGTCGACGACCCTCTCGTCGGAAGGATCCCTGGTCTCTGATCCGCTGTCGCTCCTGCGCGCTGAAGGCCCGAAGTTCTCTGCCTTTTGGGGGGGGGGCTGGAGTCGGGTCGATTCGTGGCGAACCTGAGCTTGTCGACCCCCTCCCTCGTCTCAGCGCTGACGACGTTCGTTGTGTCTCGCGTAAATACAAGGAAAACACGGCGGTCTCTTTCGATGGCTTCAACTGCAGGCGCTTTCAGTATTTGTGCGATGACGCTCTCGAATGCCTGGCCGCCCTTTTTGAAGTCATGGAGTGTGTCGGCCAGCTTCCTGAGCAGATTTCGGCTGTGCTGCTTGCGTTGCTCCCCAAACCCTCTGGCGGCTACAGGCCGATTGGGGTGTTCTGTTCTTGGTACAGGGTCTGGGGTCGGTGTCGCCGATCTCATGCCCTGGCCTGGGAACAGCAACACCCCCGTCGGTACTGGGCCGCTGGGGAGCACAGGGGAGCAGCTGATGTGGTGTGGCGCCAGTCTGCTAGGGCGGAGTGCAGCACGGCGAGCAAAGAGTGCTCTTGTTCGGTCTTCTATGATATGCTCAAATATTATGAGGCGACTGATTTGAGAGTTTTGGAGGCCAAGTGTCGGAAGCACCAGTTCCCGCTGGCCAGCGCTCGTGTGTGCATCTTCGCGTTTCGAGCGGGTCGGTTTTTGTCGTTAGGTGGCCTGCTCAATGGTCCCTACCATGTTGAGTTTGGGGTGGTGGCGGGGTGCAGTTTCGCCGCCACCTTCATTCGCGTTTTTGGCGTGGACGCCTTCGACGCGATTCCCGTCCCGCCGTCGCCGGAGCTCGACATTTACATCGACGATAGTGGTATCTCTGCCTGTGGTCCTAAGTCGTTCGTTGTTCTCAGCATTGTGAGGGCGTCCACTGCGCTTCATGCTGCTATCACTCTCATGCTTGGCTGTAGTCTTGCTCTCGACAAGGTGTGCGCGGTGGCCTCTGATGTGGACGTGGGAACTGCCGTTTCCAAGCGTCTCGGGTCCCTATGGGGGCCGTGTGGTTGAGTCGACTCCGAATGTGGGGATCGATTTTTCCGCGGGCAAATCTATTCGTGGCAAGAAGGGACAAGGGAGCAACATCAAGGCGCGTGTGGCCGCGATGCGGAGAAAGTCTAAGCGACTTAAAAAGCTTTCTGGCACCCTCGGCAGGAAGAGTCTCAACATCTTCTCCGCTGGTCCCTTAGCTTCTGGCGCTTGCGGTTGTGAAGTGGTGGGGGTCAGCGACAGTGATCTTTTGTGCATGCGGAGGGCTCCTTTTTCGCAGGTGAGACCGTTTGCTTCGGGCCGAAGCCTCACGGCTTGCTGTATTCTTGCCTCCGACCCGACCTGGAGGGCGGCGACGGTGCCCATTTTGAGATGGGGCAAGGAGGTCTGGTTGTCGCAGACCAATCTCTTCCCTGGGGCGCTGACGCTTCGGGAGCTTCGAGAGGCTTGGGCTGCTGTTTGGGCCAGGCCGAAAGTCGCGTGGGGCACTGTGGCTGGACCTCTCAGTGCCGGGCGCTTGACGTTGCTCAGGCTTGGCTGGCACATGACTAATGCGATGACCATCATTGATGACAAGGGTAGACCCATCGAGTCAGGTGTTACTTCCCCTGCGTTGTTGGCCATCCACTGCCGCGAGGCTCTGCTTCGTTCCTTAGAGAGGGATCTTGGGGATACATGGGCTGATGGGGGCCGCCTCTGCCTCGACGTTCCCAGGGCCGCCCTCGCTTCTAGCAAGTTCTCGGCTCGGGACAAAGGGTTGATTCGGGCGCTTGCGTGCAATGCGATCTGGACCCCTGATCGTGCGATTCGTTGCGGATATGCTATTAGCGAGGTGTGCCCTTTTTGTGGGGATCGCGACAGCCTCCACCACAGGCTGTGGGTCTGTCCTCACTGTGCGGACGTGCGGGCTGAGGTGGCAGACGCCGATGTCATCGCCTCAGCTGTGAACGCTGAGGCTGCGGACTACTCGGCCGACTTATTCTGTCATGCGGCTCTCGCCCACCCCGCCGATTTCCTCCCGAGGCCTTGCGTTGACGGTCGAGTTCAATTCAAGTGGTTTAGGGGCGAGCTGGACGGGCCTGAGGGGCCTGAGGAGGTTCGTGATGGAGCTATTTGGGGCCACTTATTCTTGGATGGCTCGTGCCACAGGCACATCATTAGAGAGCTCACTAGGGCGTCTTGGGCGATTATTGTGCGTGACACTACTGGTGAGTTGCTCGGTGCTGTTAGCGGTCCTGTTCGGGATCGCTATCCGCAAACCCCTTAAGCGGGCGAGTGGCTTGCTCGGGGGATGGCTGGCACGCTTGTCAGGCATGAGTCCTCCGTGTATAGTGACTGCCTTAACGTCGTCAGGTTGTCTAATCTCCCGCTGCCTGCCAGGCGTTCTGGTAAGCATGTTTACAGCGGGATCCTCCTTGAGGCTAACGCTCGGGAGGGTCGCTATATAGGAGAAATCATCAAAGTTGAGGCCCACAAGGATCTGGATGAGGCTGGTCTTAGTCCCCAGGAATCCTTTCGGCGCAGGTGTAATAACGACGCTGACGCGGCCGCCAAGCATGCTATTTCCTTTCATCCTGTCGACGCTGACCTCATGGTTAGTGTTGAGTGGCAGATCAAAATTGCCAAAACGGTGTGCAAGTTGGCTTCTCGCGTGTTGCTTGAGTGGCCTCGTTTGGACCTCTCGGGAGCCCCAGAGAGGGACCTGCGTGCGAGTAAGCTTCCGTTTTTGTCTGTTGCTCGGCCTCATGACTGGGCCGTCTGGTCTGGGATCTGGCGTTGTCGAGTTTGCTTGCTAGGTTGTAGGAGTGCGGTCCCTGCCGGGGGCGAATGTCCTGGCAGTAGCAAGCTCGATGAGGGTGTGCTGGTATCCCATGGCCACCGTGTTCTGGCGCTGCCCTGCTCAGACGGATCACATCTTTTTATTTGCATTCGTTGCAAGCAATGCAGCACTGGTGGTAGAGTGATGGGCCTTGGCAAATTATGCCCAGGCAAAGCTTCGCGTGATGGAGGTTATGCCTGGAAAGCGTTGTGTGCTCGAGGTCGTCACCCCAACAGGCTCAGAAGTGCTA